ATGTTTCCTGTTTAATCTTCATGGCAGTTCTGTGACAAAGTTATTATTCTCATTTTAAAGACGATGAACCCGGTTGTAGGGATTCCATCAACCAAGCAGTATGGAGCCTGCTGGACCCCAAAGTTCATCCTTTCTCCAGTTATCTATTTGCCATTGAGATTTGATAAGTTCTATCTCTTGCATATTTTTTCCAATGTATGGTTTCCCCTCTGGGGTTTAATTATAGTCTGTCACGCAAATGCTCTTACATATACTGCAGTCCATCAATCTTGGTTCTGACAGTATATTTCATTTCTTCAGTAAGCAGAAATCTATCACCCCACCGGAACTAGGAAAACATCATTCTGCTTCTGTTAAAGGGTAACACCTGGCTTATGGTTCACTTGTGCTCTGCTGGAACGTACTGGTCTGGGGTGAGAAGCAGGGCTGTAGGCTAACCCACCTCCACTTGAGTCCAAGACCTGCACCCCACTTCTGACTTCTCTCTCCTTCTGCCCAGTGGGTCTCCAGATGCCCAGGGTTCCCTCCTCCATCTTCATGCCTCTGTAGGAACCGGGTCCTGGGCTTGGAAAACCTTCCCCTACTTTTTCGAGCTGAACCTCTGCAGTCCCTAGGGCTGCCTTCCTTCTGGAAGACTTCATCCCCATCCCATCTGAGAGAGATGAGATAGACAGCCTTCCTGAGGGCTTCTCTCCCTCCCTATCCATCCATCCATCAATCCATCATCCCTTAACTGTTCATTTATGCACCAGCATATCAAAGGATGATGGGTTTGCTTGAGGTTTTTCAGGACAGAGACCCTCTCCTCTATGCTCAGCACCTTTCACAGGAACTGGTACATATTTGATAGATAAATGATGAATGGGCAAAGACATGTTTCAAAAAAGCTTATTAAATAGTGATTCCTTCTCCTATTGTGCAGCCTATGTTTTTTTCTTTCACAGATTAAGCTCTTATGATGGCTTGAATTTATTCCTGGAACATCTAGTCCTGTCCACTGATACATTTTTTGGTTTTACACTTGATTCTGTATAATCTGGAGAACTGTCACTTTGTTTCAAAATTTGGTATCACACGTATGATCCTAATACATAAAAGAAAAGTTGGTATTTTTTCTCTTTTATCCTACAAATGTAGGGGAATGTAACCGGTATTAAACAAAGTTTGTGCAAGGGCCTTTCCCACTGGGAGAGTCATCTAGTTTCTCATTTATGTATCCTTTCTTTATTTCTCCTATTACGTTGACATAATTTTCTTTGACTAACTCTCTTATGCCCCAAGTTGAATTGATAACCCGTATTTAGTGGACTTTATTGCTATTGTAAAAGGATTTCCATTGATCAAATCATAGATGCTGTGTGTTGAAAAAGGGCTTAGTGCTTTACTAGAACAGTGGTTCTCAAACTTTAGAATCATCTGAAAGGTTCATTAAAAAGCAGATTGCCAGGCCTCACCCCTCAGAGTTTCTGATTCAGCAGGTCTGGGGTACAGCCTGAAGACCTGCATTTCTGACAAGTTTCCAGGTGATGCCGATGCTGCTGGTCTTGGAACCACACTTAGTGACCCCCAAACCTAACTGACTGTCACAATCACTGGGTGGGGGTGGGGCACCCCATGAAATTCTGCTTCTGGAGGTCTGAGAACTTATCTTCTCTGTATCTTTGAAGTTCCCTGGGTGACAGTGATGCCCTGCCAGGCCTGGGCTCTGCTCAGGTGCACGCTCATCTGTGAGAAGCTGACCCTCCAACCTCTTTTACTTGCATACAAGATATTATATATAAAAGCATCAGTGCATCACTGCAGCCAACTGAAGTCTTTTTGAGTCTAGATCCTATCATTCTGTGTCTTCTTCCAAGTTGTTGCTAAAAATGATGACAAGGTTCTACAGTGAGATACCACCCCACACTCTTTAGGATGGCTGATATCAAAAACAAAACAAAACAAAACAAAACCAACCCAGGAAATAACAAGTACGGGCAACGATATAGAGAAACTGGAGCCCTTATACACTGTTGGTGGGATTGTAAAATGATGCAGCCACTATGGAAAACACAGAGGTTTGTGGAAGTTCCTTAAAAAATCAAAAATAAAACTATCATATGATCCAGCAATCCCATCTCTAGGCATACACCCAATAAAATTAAAAACACAGTCTTGAAGAGATATTTGCACATCCAGGTTCACAGCAGCATTATTCACAGTAGCTGAGAAGTGGGAGCAGTCTGGGTGTCCATCAACGGATGAGGAGATAAAGTGTGGTAGATTCATGAAATGGAATATTATTCAGCTTTACAAAAGAAAAGAGTCTTGTCATATGCTATAAAACATGGATGAACCTTGAGGACATTATGCTAAGAGAAATAAGCCTGTCACAAAAAGATAAATATTGCATGATTCCACTTACATGAGGTTATCTAAAGTAGTCAAATTCATAGATACAGAAAGTAGAATGGTGGCTGCCAGGGGCTGAGGGAAGAAGGGAAAAGGGGAGTTGTTTAAGTGGTATGAAGTTTCAGATTTACAAGATGAAAAAGTTCTGGAGATCTGTTTCACAATAATGTGAATGTTCTTTCTACTGAACTGTACACTTAATGATTATGGTGGTAAATTTTATTTTTTTAAACTTTTAAAAAAGTGTTTTTAATTTAAATTTTTAATTTTTTTTATTTTGGAGGCGAGGTAATTAGACTGATTGATTGATTGATTGATTGATTAATGGAGGTACTGGGGGTTGAACCCAGGACCTTCTGCATGCTGAGCACGTGATCTACCACTGACCTATATACCCTTCACCACAATGGTAAATTTTATTATTATTATTTTTTAACCACAGTAAGAAAAAAAAAAGTGACAAAGTCAGAACCAAGCACAATGTCCCACAGTATAACACTGGGCACCTTCCTCCAGGCCTGACTCTGATATTTTATCTCCAGGGCAGGTTAACCAGCCAGGCTTGGCTTTACCTAACTACTGGATAATCTAGCTCTCCTTTCTTCACCTTGTTCATATCACTATCACATTCAACAAGGGTACAAAATTTCTAGAGCTCTTTCTAAAATAAAAAGCAGTGTGTTATTTCTTTACTTAAAACATCTCAGTGATCCCCATTGCTTAAGGAAGTGGTTTCAAACGGTGCTCCTTGGAGAGATGTGAGTCCCCTGCACCACTACAGGGATGGTGTACGTTGCCCACGTACTTCGGGCAGGTGTTCTGTCAAGAGCTCTGCACGCATGATCTCAGTTAATCCTCACAACAGCCTCTGATGGAGGTGAGTTAGGTGGGGAAGGGCTCAGAAAGGGTAAGCATCTTGTCCACGGTCACCCAGCCAGGAAGTGGGGCCCCTGTAGGCCTTAAGTCAGGGTCTCTCGGGGTGTCTAGGACTGGGGCTAAATCTGCTTTCTTGCTGTCTTCTCTGAACACTACACTATCCCCTTCCTGGGTCTTCTTATTCAAAACATCATTTTTGAAAATCCTTGTTGGGGGGCTGCTATGGAGAGGAGCAGTGGTAATAGTGGAAATCTATTGTTCTTTCACAAGCCTCAGACACTGACTGTGTTTATCACAAATTATGAAAGTTACAATGCTCTTAGTGGACGAATAACAGCAATTTGTTTTGGTACAACAGCACCTGTATGAATTACCAGTCATCCCCATTTGCTCATAAGGAGGGAAAGAGATGTGTTATTCCCTCCCTTTTACAGATACAGAAACTGAGGTCAGAATGACTGAGTGACTTATTTAAAGTCGCTTAGTGAATTTCAGAGCTGACAAGAGAATTCACCAGTACCTCAGAACCCGAGAAGTTTCTTTTATAATTTATGGTAGGGGAAGAAAAGTTTTATTTTGTTTTGCTTTTCCCCTTGAGGAATTAGAATGTTTTCTTCTTTCTGATTTTACAGTAAACTAACTTACTGTGTTTCTCTTTTTGCCCTCAAATTTGCTACCCAGTCACTGCAGCTCTGTTATTCTTCCTAATCAGCATGTTTGCTTTTCCCTCTTCGACTTGGTGCTGATTTGTTAGTTCTATGGTCTTAACTTTCATGTTTATGTTACCTTTGTTGGAACCTGCCTCAAATCCTTATCTGAAAGAGGCAGGCTATGACTAAAGGAGTGTGTGTGTGTGTGAGTGAGTGAACCAGCCACCATTCTCACAGCTGCCCACCTCTCTAACAGAATGCTTTGTCTTCAGAATTTACCATTTACTCCCAGTTTTAAGATAACATACAGCATTTTGAGGAGAGAGAGAAACTCCAAATTCAGACAAGGAGATGACAGACTCTGAAGGAGGTCAAGGTCTGGTAAACATCACAGGAGCTGGGAGGGGACTTGCATGTACTTGACAAGTTCCGTACCTTCTCTGGTTTAATCTTCACCACAACTCTGTGAGGCAGGTGTCGATTTCCCCCTCTTACAGATGGGGAAAGTGAGGCCCAAAGAAGTTCAGTAATTCACTCAGGGTTACAAAGCTAGCCCGAGGTGGAGCCTGGAACAGAACCTAAGACAATGGCCAGAGCCAAAGTCTCTTCCAACTAGATCTCGTGGTCTCCAAATCAAAATCACCGGAAAGCTTTCCCAAGTGGTCACAAGATGCTAACTTGAGGTCCACATTTTTGGTGCAGCGGAGTTAACAGAGATGGAATGTGTCAAAAAAAAAAACTAAAAACGAAGAAGCTATAGACACTTCCCCACCACTACACACACACACCGGAAAAGTGTGATTCTCCTTTGGAGCCACGTGATGGTCCAATAAGGTGGACGTAGACAGGACTTCCCTGTATCTACCCGCTTCTCCCAGCCTGGGGGCCTCCCCACAGCACAGAGGTCCTACCTTTCTCACAGTAGGGCTCCCCATCTTCCATGTGGAAGAGGCTGTTCCCGAAGGGCTTCTTGCAGGCTGCGCAGACAAAGCAGGTGGTGTGCCACGTCTGTCTCAAGGCGTGCATCACTTCCTGGGGAAAGAGCCTCAGCTCAGGACAGAAAGGTCCGGGAAGGAGGAGGCAGGCTTGACTTCCACACCAGGCCCCGGCCACTCCTGGAACAACCCATCAGGGAGCAGGGCAGGAGAGCCCAGGAAGCGGGCCTGGGATACGCCGAGGAAGGCTAGCAGGCGGCAGAGGAGGGGTTCCTACTTGCGCAGCATTTGCTGAGTACCAGGTTCTGTGTGTGATTGACTAAGCTGTGATGCTTAAGTCTCCCATCAAAGTTGGGAGGCAGGTACAGCATATTACCACCATTTTACCAAAGGGGCGTTGAGGGTCAAAGCCACGTGCGGTTCAGGGCCACACGCAGGTTCATGGTGAGCTCAGGCTATGAAGTGATAACTTGCTTTGCAGAAGCTCTGCCACCACTTCAGGCTGTGTGGCCCAGGGATGTAATCACCTCTCGCTTCAAGTTCCCTTGCTCCCTAGTTCATTGGTGGCAAACCAACTCCCTTCTTGGACAGAAAAAAAAGAGCTGTTCTGGGTCTGTTAACATAGCAACTTCTTGGCTTCCAAATAGGACCCCACAACCTTGGAGGGGAGGAGAGGCTGGCTGGGAAAAAGACACAGGTCAGAAGAATGGGATGCTGCCTACTTACCCCCATGATCTTGGTGTTGCACTTGGCACAGACCGGGGCAAAGAACTGCTCGTAACACCGCTCGCAGTAAACGTTGTTCTGCTCCTCCACGAAGCACACGTCTGCCAGGGAGCTCTTGCAGTAGGCACAGTTGAACTCTTCAGGGTGCCAGGAGCGGCCCATGGCTACCAGGAAGGGGCCCCTGGGGAAGCAGAGAAGAGTACCTCCTAAGGCAGCCCCCGAAGTGTAAGACCAGACATTTCAAAACCCCCAACAATATTCATACTTTGATCCTATAACTGTGCCTTTTGTGACTGTTCTAATGAAATAATATGAAATTCACATAAAGCTCCACGGAAAAAGATGAATTCATTGTTGCATCACTTGCAATAAAGACAAACGGGGAAGGAACTCAAACATTCACTAGCAGGGGACTGGACAAGTATACCACGGAATAGCCATTCAGTTGACTACTGACAATTATGGCAAGAAGAACAATGACGATGGCGCTGATGGTGAACATTTATTAAGCGCTTACTCTGCGCCAGGCACCATTCAAGAAGAAATTTGCATTTATTAACATATTTAATTCTGACAACAGTCCTATAAAGCAGGAACTATTATGGTATCCATTTCCAGACAAGGAAACTGAGGCACACAGAACTTAAGTTGTTCAAGCCTATAGGGCTAGCACGGTAGACCCAGGACACAAAACTGGTTCTACTTCCTACACTATTGGTGGGAATGTAACTTGGTGCAGCCACTCTGGAAAACAGTATGGACATTCCTTAAAAAATCTAAAAGTAGAGTTACCATTTGATCCAGCAATCCCAGTCCTGGGCACATATCCAGATAAAACTCTAATTCAGAAAGATACGTGCACCCCAGTGTTCATAGAAGCACTATTTACAATAGCCAAGACATGGAAGCAACCTAAATGTCCACAGACAGATGACTGGATAAAGAAGTGGGGGTGTAGATATACGATAGAATACTACTCAGCCATAAAAAGAGAATGAAATAATGCCATTTGCAGCAACATGGATGGACCTAGAGATTATCATACTAAGTGAAGTAAGTCAGACAAACACAAATATAGAATCTAAAAAAAATGACACAAATGAACTTATTTACAAAACAGAAACAGACTCACAGACATAGAAAACAAACTTACGGTTACCAAAGGGAGAAGGAGGGGAGGGATAAATTGGGAGTTTGGGATGAGCAGATACAAACAACTATATACAGAATAGATAAATAACAAGGTCCTACTGTATAGCACAGAAAACCATATTCAATAGGTTGTTATAATCTAGAATGAAAAAGAATATGAAAAATAATATGTGTATGTATAACTGAATCACTATGCTGTACACCAGAAGCTAACACAACATTGTAAATCAACTATGCTTCAATTAAAAAAAAAACTGGTTCCAGAATAGTAGTCAGAACAGTGGAATTGAAGAAACATTTTATATCTCAATTTTTCTGAATTTTCTAATTCTTCTCTAATGAGTATATGCTCCTCTAATGATACTTTATTTTTAAGTAAAAGTGTATTTTTCATCTATACAAACTCACCCCCCCACATTGCCATACTATAAACATACTATATTGAAACAAACACCACCCGTGATCCTTGGCTTCTAAGCATGAAATGACGTCTTTTCCTTTTAGTGTGGCAGACGCTCACCAAAGCCCTCAGCAGCTCGGGCCCGTCTGAGGAAAGACCCAGAAGCAACCCTAAAGGAACACTGGGTCAAAACTAGCACTGTCAGCCAGCTTGCGACATGCCCAATAAACCTCCCAACCAGGCCTGCAATTCCCAGAACCCGGCCTGAGCCCAAGGGGGCGGGGCTGGGAGCTTCACCCACTTACCTCATGGACTCCTCCCAGCTCCCCGGGGAAGTGGGTGTCACACAGATATGGAAGCGAAAGCTCAGAGAGGGTCAGACCAGATGGCGAGCCAGAGGGCCTTGAGACGGCCCTGAATGCAGCCTTCTCCCCGACCCTCGACCCTGCCCCTGCCCGCCACCCCACACTGCCCTGCCAGCACCCCAGCACCCCAGCACCCCAGCGCAGGGGCACAGCTGGACCATACCGGATGACGTTGTTGCAGTGGCCACAGAGTGGGGTCCGGCTGCTGGCTGGGAAGCGTTCGGCCCTCTGGACGGTACCCCTGGCAAGGGGGGATACATGGGGACCCGGCGGCGGTGGGTTGTAGGCAGGCGCCCCTCGGGGCAGGGTCTGTTTGCTGACGGAGGTGGTGCTCTTGCCAGGGGCGAACTTCTGAGAGAAGCTGTCGTCTGTCACCCATGGGGGGCGGCTGGCGGACTCCGCAGAGCCCCCACTGTAGGGTGCAGGGTTATAGCTTGGGGCTGGCGAGGGGGTATAGGCTGGTGCTGGGGAGGGAGAGTAGGTGGGTGCAGGGGAGGGGGTGTAGGTGGGGGCAGGGGAGGGGGTGTAGGCAGGGGCAGGGGAAGGGGTGTAGGGGGTTGGACTGTAATTGGCCCCCAGAGATGGGCTGTAGGTAGATGCAGGCACTGCAAGCCAAAAATACCCGAAGAAAAACGTGTCAGGAATTCATTTCTGCCAACTTCCCCTGCCCCCATCCAAAGAACTGCTAAAGACGATGTCAATATTAGAGGAGCATAATTCCAACTTTTACAGGAGGCACATCCCTGAACTCCTTGACGGCCTGCATTTGAATTTACAAGCAGGGAGCCAAGAGAGATAAAGAGCCACCAGAGCAGAGCCCTTGGGAGCTGGGACAGGGCCGGGAAGGGATGGAGCTATAAATATCCACAGCTGTGCGGGGTGGGGCTGGCCAGGCCTTGGCTGCCAGAGGCCTGCAGGAGACAGGCAGTGGGGGCAGGGGTGCCGGGCAGGGCTCATATCTGGATCCCCTGGGCCAGGAAGAGGGTGGGAGTGGGTCAACATGGCCTTAACTAGAAGATGCTTTTGGTTGCACTCTGACCACTGATTTGATAGCTGAAATGCCTCAGTTGCATGCGTTTGCTGAACCTGGACCGAGTCCAGCCTTCAGGACAAAGCACGTGACTGGGCACTTAGGTTTTCAGGTTCAGGTTTCTGGTTTAGCTATAATTGTTTTCTTGAAAAACAGCTTGGTGTGATTTGTACTGAGGGGAAATTCCATCTTCGTTTGATTGGGGTGGTGGGTCTCAAGGAGTCATTCAGAGGGAACCTGGACAGAGATGCTAGGGTGACGGAGCCCAGGTCGAGCTGCTCCCTCAGCCTATGGCTGCCTCTGCGGGACCCATGCTCTCCCACGCCACTTTGGTGGAAACTGAGTGTGACCAAGGAAGCCAGAGGACAGGAGGAGAACGCACTGCCCCGCTTCTGGAACGGCCCCTCCTCCAGCTCACTGAGAGCTGGAAACCTTTTTAGGGCAGCGCCACAAAGGACCATAGCAGCTGCCCACACAAAGCTCTGCGAGGCCTGGATCCTCCAAACCCAGTTTCTAAGTTCTGCTGCCTCCCATTGTGAAGCCAGCAGGGAAGACCCAGCTGCGTCCGGCACACATAGTCCAGCTAGCCTCCCCTTCTAGGAAGAGAGTTTCCAGAAACCTCACCGCAGCTCAGTCTCCTTCTCTGGGAAGAGGCCTCATTACTCCCACCCCAGGAAGCAGGCCAGGGCAGCCTCCCTCCCCATTCCTGAGTCTGGCCTGGTGAATGGACTATGCTGATGGGAGCTGAGGCAGCCCCCACAGGCTCCAGCCTGGAAAGGAAGGTCGGTCTCAGGTCTAAAGTTCCCAGCCTGGCCTCTGGTCTCTCCCACCTGGTTCCCCTGGACTACTCTGGGTGGCCTGTGGCCCAGTGCTCCAGCTCTGCACCCTCTGCTCCCAGATGACGGGCCCTTCAGAGCTGGGTAACGTGGAGACCCAGTGCTGGGAACGGGTAGGGACCAGGCCTGTGTTACTGAAAGCAGAAGGAGTAAAACCCTCCACAGCTCTGCCCTGGAGCCATCCTGGGAGTGAGGCTGGCTTCCAGAAGTAAGGAATTCCTTCTCCATAAGGAGTCCTCTTCCCACTTACTAAGAAGGTAGACTAGGGATTTAACAGGTCATCTGGGTTAGTCTCCTTTACAGCTGAGGTCACCGAGGCTCAGACAGAGCCAGTAAGTGGCAGAGTGAGTCTCCAAAACCATTCTTTCTGCTACCCTAAGCTATCTCTATAAAAACCATGAATCCGATTTCCAGAAAATTTTGGTACACGGTGTTATGGAGGAGTAACTGTCAGCCTGGAGGAGGCCAGGTTCTCTGGCATGCAGCATGGCCACCAAGAGCCCTGGGTTCAGATCCCAGCTCTACTACATCCTGACTGTGTGTCCATGCACAAGTTCCTTAACATCTCTAGGCCTGAATTTCCTTGCCTAAAAATGGCAATAATAATTCTTGGTACCTCATGGGGTTGTTATGAGGATTAAGGGAGGGAGATAAGAACTATAAAAGCTTAGCCTAGTACCTAGCACTGTGCACGGGTCACTAAGTGTTAGTGAGGATGGTGAGGATAGGGACTCTGGTGTCCAGATGAACTGTCAGCTCATCTCACAGCATGATGGTCACCTGGGGGAGTCTGGCCCAGGGAGACTGTGGGATGTGGGGAGTAGGAGATATGACATCCTGAGATCAGATAACCTGGGACTGAGTCTGCTCACCAGTGGTGGTATGTATGACACCCCTGCCTGCCTCACAGGGTGGGGACCTACTGGAGTGACATGTTGTGCGCACTCTGTAAACTTGTGAAGCCCATATTTGAGGTATAGTCACCCTCCCTAACAACCTTGCATAGCTCCCAAGGGCCCGAAGCAGAGGGTCTCACAATGCTAGGCGCAGGGTGATGTGGGGAATGCCAGCAGGGAGGGGATGGGGGAAGAGATGATCCAGCAGAACTTCAGAGCAGCTTCCTTCCTCTCTGTTATGTATAATAGGGTTCTGGGCAAGCTTTTATTTCCTATTTTAAGTGGGGGATCTCGGCTAAAACGGATTAATCCTGTGTGGTTCAATACATAGCCCTATGTGGCCATTAAGCACCTTGAAATGTGGCAGTCTGAACTGAGACACCCTGTAGGATAAAATACACACCAGGTTTTGAAGACAATACAAGAAAGTAAAATGTCTCATTAAGAAGAATTTTATGTTGATTAAATACTGAAATGATTGAGTTAAAAAATATATTAATTTCACCTGCTTCTTTTTACTGTTTTAAAAATATGGCTACTAGAAAATGTCTTGTTACTGGACAGTGCTGTCCTATTCAGAACAACAGTTACCAAGTACACACTGCTTCCCCATGCCCAGCCCTTAATACACATTATTTCGTGTAATACTGGCTACAATCCAATGAGGCAGAAAATATTTTCAAGTCCATTTTGCCCATGAGGAATTGAGACTTGAAGAGCTTAAGTGACTACCTCAGGGTTAGGGAGCTAGTGAACAACCTAGCTGAAACTGGAGCTCAGGCAGCAAGCTGGCTTCGACTCCAGATCTCCTGCTTGAGCACTCTCTAGGCAGCAAAACAGGCTTTAGCACGCCCCTTCCAAATCGGGCCCTTGCCCACTTTTCCAGCTTCCCTCCAGCAACACTAACCCTACTCCCTCTGCCTGGCAGCCATTCTCTTCCCTCCTCTGGAAGGCCTTCCAGACTCCATGATCCACCTCTCTCTTCTAAACTCCTACAACACGACGTTTTCCAGCAGGTTAGAGGCACACGGGCATCTGGTTTGTGGGTGGGCTGCTTCCTTGCCCAGGGCTAGGGCCTTCCCTCCCTGGAGGGCTCCCCTCGGCCACCTCGTCCTGCGTGAGGGGGGTGGGGAGCGCAGGGAGCAGCTGCTCCTCAGTCCCTTCCTTTTGCGCCCTTCAGCCCGGCTGGCCGCGCCACCTTCGACGTGCCAGGATTGAGACTTGACATCCCCTCTCGGAGCCCGCGGCTGTTGCTATTTCTGCCTGACGGAATGAAGCCCGTCCAAATTAGAAGGTGATATTTCATCTCTAATTGGCAAGTTCAAAAGGCCCCTATCGCACTCGGTGGCTCGGGAATGTGTAATTAAACAAGGTGATTTCTGACTCACTCCAGGTCGGGCCCGGCTCCC